GGGCCACTGATTTTAAATGAGTGGAGATGGCTAGATCATTGTCGATCGCGTACCATCCAAATCTGATAGGCAACATCACCCAGCCCACGAACGTGATTGCCAGGACTATCTGACAACACAAGCCCATTTAGGTACAATCCAGAAAAATATTATAAATACCTAGCCTGCAAAAAACTTGAACACCACGAAGAAAGCAACATTGGATTCCCAACTCTATTTTGCTACGAATGGCTGGAGATTCACCACGGCACAAAATATTGTAGAGGCAAACGGCGAAACTCAAGCAGCAGCCATGCTGCTACAACGCGCAACCACAGGGCGCATCTGCAAGAGAGGCCGCAGATGAGGATACAAGCCCACCCTAAATTACTTCCAATTCACAGAAATATCTTACAGTATGGAAACGATAAATTGCGAAATACTTTCACCGTCCCATATTAAATGTCCTCTACTTGAAAGGCAAAATTCGTGACAAAAAATGCTTTAAAAGTACAAAACAAGGTCAGAATCAGAAATATTGGGTCCCAAAACCCCTAACTACCAATTTTCAAGGAAGAAAGGTCGGTCCCACCCCTTGAAGGGCACCCTCGAAATTGCCCTTAGATTTGAAAAAAAATGTGCCCGCCGTTTTCGCTTCCGCTGGAGATCTGCACGTTTCTGGGTCACTCCCGTTCCGGCCTTCGAAGGGTGTGGCTTCACCACTGCCGCGGTGAAGGGAAATACCCCTTGCGTGGAATAGCACTGGTCAAACGCGGCTGACGGTATTTGGATCGTCGTGGCAGAAGGCCATCGTCACAACGTCGACGATGCCAGAAATCGCCGCGACCCTAGATCAGAGATGCAAGGACCTGCAACGAGCGGAATAAGCCAAAATCAAGGACGTTCAAGCCTAGGCTCTGTGCACCCTAACACTCCAAGGTATTTGGGTGGCTTTGTGTGGACAACTTGCCTTGATGGATCTTTGAATCGAGGCCTTCGCGCGCAACTTGGCACACGATCCATGAATTGCCACTAGCACCCCCCTCTTTTGTGCGGTCCACAATCCATCACCACATATATCGTCTGCCCTTGCAAAAGAGACACGGTGTTAGCCACCTGACCGTCCTCTTTATATCTAGCCGCCTAAAATTCCACAGAAAAGCCAATTTCACAAATCTGGTGTCAACAACAATTTCCACAATCGGCTGCCACTGAATGCGGTGCTGCACTTTACCTTGTCTGTCAACTTGTCGGGGGGATTCGGAGTCACCCTCTATTGTCTTGACGGCACCAACAGAGGGCGAAAAGTCTTGGCCGCAAAAATTCGTGGCTGGAAGGCAGATCCGGTCCACCAGACCAGCACTGAATTTCAGCTGTGAGCTACGGCGAATTGCACGATCAGAGCCTTCGGAACTCGTTTCCTATCGCCGCACTTCCTCGTGAGCACCACGCCAATCTTATATCCGAACGGTGTGGCTAGGTTTGCACGGGCGGATCCGTTTCGCCGCCATGAAGGCGTGCTCCTCAAAACAGCGAAGGCAACCTTTTTCGCGGAATCGTTGAAAAACGGGTGGGTTTCTGGCTGGAGGGCCCTTGCTACAAAGTACTGCCAAATCCTCAGTTCTTAACGGATTGACTTGAAATTTTGACCGTATACTCCGAAAATGTAGGCGCATCTTTAGACAAAGTTCTATTGAAAAAGAAATAATTTAAGGTGGAAAGGTGATGTGTCAAAGTCATAGAGGACATTTAATATGGGACGGAGGAAGTACAAAACTGCATGGAGAATTGGAACATCTCAAAACTGCAGTTATTCTCTGGCTGCAGTATCGACACCAATTTGAATGCTGAAAGTTGGCAGAAAACTTCGGCTGTGGGGAAGCAACAATCCTGAAAACTTTCTTGCCGTGTAATGTGCCTAATACAACTGATCGTAAATCAAAAATTTGGTAGTTCTGAAAATTCGATACTTGAATTGGTGGCCCATAGGACGGGTTACCCCACAGAAGCACCATGCGCATGGAAGGCGCCGAGCTCCGGTCTTGTAAGGAAGTATTGAGCACTCAATGCGTACAGAGGAAGTAATGGAAAATACTCAGTGGTCACAAATATGCACTGAGAGGCGCTAAGTTATTTCATCTCATTGTATGAATGTTTGTCCCAGAGTGGACTTTGGCGGCTGACAACAGCGCTGTCGTTGCACAAGTCTGCTCATTTCTGTTTCGTTGTCCACATTTTGCAAGAACCAATGGGTATCTTGTGCAACAACTCATCCACGTATTGGCCCCCGCAAGGCATCGAAGGCCACCCTTTTCCTCCTTCACATTTTGACGCAGCATGGCTCTGGTTTTAGCTCGAGCACTGCTCGGAATTACCATTGCCACATCAATGCATGGTGGTGTGCAATTAATGTTGCAATCTCGAAACGTAACGTTCCCGTAATCCCACATTTCGACGTTTGCATTTTCTACCACATGCCTCATAGGTGCACCCACTGTGAGCGCCTTCAGTGCTTGTTGATATGTATGATGTTTCCTGCACAGCACACAGAGTTTCCGTATGAGGCGGCGGCGCTCGGGTTTGACGTCTCGTGGCGAATTAGAGCATCGACATCTCAGATCCCCCTTCCTGAAGGCAGACTGTAGTGACTCCAATGCTGCACAATGTGCTGCTCCTTTAGAGCGTGTCTAATGTTGATAAAATTATGCTTGGGCAGATAGTTTCCCATGTTTGAATGCCAAGAACTGTGTTTCTGGCCTCTTGCACGTCATCGGTTGTATGAATTTTCACCAAAGATATCGTTCAAAATATGGATGCATTGAAATTGGATCAGGGTCTGGAAATGCTGAATGGATTCTGGCCCCGTTTGTGATGGACAACAAGCTGTTGCGCAAGGTATCTGCTCAGGTGCGGGAGGGGGAGTGCCAGCCGGTGATGCTGGGCCTGATGCGGTGGTCCATGGGATGCGGCGCCGAGGTCACCTCCCCGCCATCGATTATACACGCAAAGCATTGGCGAGCATGGGGATTTGATTCACGCGTTAATTGATGGATTCGAATTTAGAATGGTCAAAGTTAAATTGCATCCGAGAATATATCAATGCACTGCTTTTACACCGTTGCGGGCAAAAATTCTGTTATGAGAGAGGAAGCGATCGTGTTGTATGATGGGCCTTCCCTTGACTGTTGGCCTCATGCTTAAATAAAGAGCCTTCCAGAGTCCATCGTGTGCTGCAAGACCTGATTTGCAGCTTGGGGGTGGAGTGCAATGCAGCTATTTTCGAAGACACCAAGCACTTTTCTTATGCAGGGCAGATCATGCGAGAATGTGGCGCACGGCTTGCGCTGAAGCAAAGTGGGAGGCAGGAAGTTAAGTTGCGATGTCTGTAGTGCACCTTGGTCAGGCCTATGTGTGGTAAGGCGCAAACTTATGCAAATGTGCCATTCAATTGCCACATAGCAGAATATGCCCCGTCAAGGGCAAGAAGGACTCACAAGAGTGGAGTATACAGGTGGTCTTTCTTGAGTGGCAAGAGTCTATTTGATCTTGCAGTCCAGTCGTGATTTCTCAAAAGACAAAGTAGGCGATGCTTGTAGGGCTTACAGGCAGTACGTCCCCCACAAGGCATCCTACATTGTGAAGATGTCAGCAAAATTTAACGCTCAGGGTGAAACATATCTGTCTTTGCATGTGTGAGGCGGATGTATGAGACTATTTAAACAAACGAGTGTTTGTTCCAGGAATAACTCTATGTTGTCTAAATTATTAGCTCTGCACGAAAAGTAATGTCGCTCTTCCAATTCAAGCAAACGAAGTCCAAAATTTGGGTGCCAGAACGTTCGCAAAGAGCCAATTTAAAAACAATCTCGATTCCCCTTACTTAGAGATTTCTGTAGAACTTTCAAACGTAGCAAACGGCACTGCCATTCTTGAGATACGTGACGAGCAGCTGAAAGACGACTTAGCGTTTTGTCAGGACCTCGGGAAGAGCATGGCGATCTCGTCTTGCCTCTCAAATGAGGCTGATCGGGCGGAGTTGTCTCTAGGAAAGATGTTTGACTTAATGGTTGTTATGCATTGAAGATTCGGCTAAATTCAAGGCAGAATCCACAGAGAAAACTATGTGGATTTGCTTCAAGATTTTGGGGTGTCAACAATAACTGTGTGTATGTTGTGGCCAAAAGCGAAGAGGCAACTAGATTGGTGCAAGAAATTAACTAGCTGACACACCAATCTTAGGAAGACTGCTCGTACTCACGCTAACTCCAGAATGGCTTAGATTGGTGTCAATATGGCCAATCTTTGAAATTGAGAATTTCAAAGATACGAGTCAGCATAACGGAAGAGATGTTCCAAAGAGAGTGTGATTGCAACGATGCCACTAGTCTTGAATTGTCATAACAGTGCCTATATATTGCCTACAACAAGGTTCTTGAATAAAATTGGGGAAATAGGCCAGCGCAAATGGATATAACGTGAGCGAAAAACCATAAGATGTTGAGTCCCTGACGGAGGTGGATAGGGACGCTTCGATGGGGCTGAGAATTTCTTGCTGTATGCCGATGACTGATACAACCAAGATCCTCGTCAACCCAAAATCGACCAAAGAATCCAAATCTGGTGCCAGATTGACTAACGGAGTTGATGCTGCAAGTTAAAGCAAGATTAAGGAAGCGGCAATACATTTGGGATGGAGGGAGTATTGCATCATCTTTCAAGAGTACAGCTGCCACTTCCAGGATTTGTTGCACCCAGTCGCCAAAGATTAGCCACCAACGTGTCTTTCGTGCTACCTTGTGTAAACATGTTCCTCTGGGAGAGCTGGAAAATATCCTCCATCACTTTCCCCATTTCCCCATTAATGGGGAGATTCCTTTATCAGCACATGCTCAAGAAAATGGCAATTGACTCAGGACAGCATCGCCATATGTGCGCCATCCAATGACGGACAAGCGAAAAAGAATCCTGGCGACTTTAGACCTAGCTCCAAACGAAACCAACTCGAAACTGTGCGCTCACGTCTATTGCTGGCCAGGTTCCCAGTCCATAGGTAGTCGTGATAGGCATTCGGTGACATCCTTCATGGTGGGCCTGTCCCTCGGGTCCAAGGCGCAACACCTCCCCATCAGCTCACGCAGCTCGTCTGGGCAGTGGTGCCTCTCCACCACGCAAGGCGGCTCTCCTTTGGCCTTCTTGCCAATCATCGCCAGCTGCCTGGTGCCAGTGCCGTACAGTGGCAGCCTCGCCACCGCTGCATGCATGATAAGGCCAAAGCTAAAGACGTCCGACTGAAGTGAGGGGGGCTCTCCATTGAAGAGCTCAGGTGCCTGCCACAGGGGTGTGCCTTTAACGCCTCTCAAGCTCATTGTCGTCCAGTCTCGCAACTCCGTCGTCAGACCGAAATCAGCGAGCTTCACATCGTATTTTGCATCGCCAATTTTCAGATACAAGAAATTCTTGTCCTTGACGTCGCCATGAATCAAAGGGGGCTGCCTGCTGTGCACATATTCCAGCCCAACGGCCCCTTGCTGCAGCAAATTCAGTGTTGTTGGCCAAGGCAGAGCGGCGTCGCTGAGCAGTGTGCTTAAGTCGCCATCGGCCAACTCCATCAGCATCCATCCCGATTTCGTCATACCAAACAATCGGAGAATGCGGGGATGGTTCAAGGACGCGTGAGTGGACACCTCCTTGAACACGTCTGCAAACTCTTCTAACGTCAAATCGGGGCTGTCGTTGCTTGACACAATCTTCTTTACAGCCACGTTGGAGCCTTTTCAGATGGCTTTATGCACCTGGCTGTAACCGCCTTTACCTACATTCTTCCCCATGCAGACCTCGCTGTCGACTACAACATTGAGTGCCTTCAACTGGTGTTCGTGTCGATCTCTGATCGATTCCCATTCCTTCTGGAACGCCTCCTCATTACCAAAATCGATTTGCTTTCCCTTAAGCACATATGCTAGGTGTGCATACAGATGTTCCCTGTCCATTTCCATGCACTTGTTGGGTATCTCCACTTGGATCTGATGCTCTGAGTTTTGCAGTCCAATGGCATTCACAAGGGCATCTTTCATGTCTCCGCACAGCACTTGGATAGCATTCACAGCATCGTTAACCTTGTAGAAATGTGCAATATCAAATGGCTTGGAATGCTTTTCAATCAGTCGCTCCCCTTGCCTCAGAGATTCTGTCAATATTTTTGATGTCTCATCTGACAGCGACTTTGACACACAGATTTCCTGGATATTTTGCATCTGCTCCTGCAAAAATTGCATCATGTTTGAGTGATATCTCAAATTTCTCAATTGATGTTGCACTTCTCCAATGCTGATCTTCTCCAGTGCCATGCGTCCAATGACAAGGAACATCACGAAATCCAAAACTGCTGTCATGCGCATCAATGGACGCTCCTTCCACTGTTGAGCCATGCGATCATACGCCTGTACCAACAAACATTTGTCAATACGAGATGTACAACGGAAATGTAGGGCATATGTATATGTCAACTGGCTTTGTTAATTGTGGTTATGGCATCGCGATTATGTTGAAACAATCACACACAATTGTGCGTTTTACAGAATGTCTATAGAATGCACAAATACGTTGCCTCTACACACCCAAATTACATGCAATTGCAGGCAAACAGCCAGACTATCGTCCTGTCAAACACAAACAATGGCATTCAGACGCAGGCTTCATAAAGCCTATGCCCAAATTGTTGGAGGTACCCCATACATGGCTTCCTACTTGCCCTCACAAAGGACAACAGTGCCATCAGACAAACGGTCATCCTCTGGCTGCCACTCCCTAGACTCCTTGGCGAACTCCAGATTTGATCGCCATGTAGATCATTGCAACCATCCTGCGCTTCTTGGCCAACACCTTACCACAGAGCTTTCTTTGGATACAGTTGCAGTTGCTCTACACCTGCTTGAATATGCGGACTGTAATGGGCTATATAGCTGGTACTCTCAATGCAACTTCACCTATTTAGATGCTTATGACAGTGGTCGGCAGTTCTTCAACAGGTAATGCACAACCTTGGCATTGGTTGTGCCAAAGCTGTCGCAATTTTTGCCTCATGCAGCAAGCACTAGAATACAAGCGGCCTTGTGGGGTGACCTGCTCAATGCAATCTCCACCCAGGGGGGTATCACACAAAACTTTGGGCAAGTGCCTCATTGCAATCAGCCCAGGGTTCACAGAGGGAGTGCTAAAAATGTTGAGGAGAGGGAAATACATAGCTAAAGCGAAGCGCAACCACGTATGCAATTACGCAGTATGCTGACCGTCGTCATATACCTCCAAACAATGAGAGTGTCATCTTAATAGATTGCCAACGGCATATCTATTCACAAGCAGCCAGACTTACACATGCTTGTACATTTTGCGTTTGTATGTTGTGTAAATATACAAACACTCATGGCCTACTGGAACTGTGCCACCGCCGAACTGGCCCTTGTCCATGGCCATACTCTCCATGGACTTCAACTACTACATGTGTTATGACTTGTCTCTGGCGAGTCCCAGGAGACGTTATAACATTTAGTTGTTCCTTAATGAGGATGGGCAGGCCGGGATTCTTGTATTAGTTCAATTGGGTTAGATGATTTAATGACATCCATTATGGTCAGCTATGCAAATATTATGTACATGAGGTCATGATTGTGCATGTAATCCAACCATTGTGTGAAATCTCGCCTCCCACCTCCCAGGTTGATCATGGGCTGCCAGCAATAGGCAGTGCAGCAACATGGCTAATATCCTGTGCTCATTCATGTTCATAGTTTCATGTCTTGTTAAATGTTTTCATCTCAAACTACTTTGGCCGTTTACATGCTAGGCCTACTGCTACCCTCTCATGTGGTTGTCACATTGCAACACAATGCTTTTTGACACAAGCGTTCATGTTTTCCAAGCAGCTGTTTCATTTCGCAGCCACACAGCCTTTGTTAGAGGAGCTTGAATGGCGTTGGATCCATTTTGCTATTCTTCTTGGAAACTTTGGCCAAAGTGCAACAGTGTTCTTGATAGCAAACTCGTCACGTGACTAAGGGAAATGAATATTTCAAGATATCCACGTACAATACTTTGCATAAGGCAACATCAATGAGGGCTATACTCTCATGTGGTGTCTTGGTCCCTGACTCTTCAACAGGATGTGCATGCAAACGCCAAATCATGTAATGCACAGTATTACAGACCATGCACAAGACTTGAAACTATGGTAAAACTCAAATTTATCTCACGCTGTCACACAAGCACCACGTTGGAGCTTTTGGGGCACTTGCTGAAGCCATGGCGGCATCTTAGCTGCATGATTAATCAAAATTCAGAATGGCAATGCTGTCCGCAAACCAATTCTGTGCACCATGTTGCAGGATGATGTTCTCACCAAAAGTAAGTTTTGCACTGCTCGTCGACTCAGCAAGTGTCTTCCGACAACAGTTACAACCACTGCTAACAAAAAAGTCTGCAACAAACCAAAAAAGACGCACAAATCAGCTGCACATCAGCAGAATAAGGACCCTGGTAGCCAAACACTCATGTGTAAGAAGCACAATTGCACTACAACAGGAATGGGTCCACCGCACCCTGATGATGCATGATGTAACTGTGCAATTGAGAAGAACACCTATTTAGCAGACTCGAATACAAGCACCAACAAGCAATACTGGCTTTGTTACAAAAATTTGCATATCCTGGGTACCAAAGTTTAGGATACGGTGCCCATTTCCTGTTCGATATCTACAGGATATGAAATTCTCATCAACACTGAAAGCAGTGGCATTAGTAGCAAAGAGCAGCTGTGCACTGGTCAACCGAGGCAACAGAAGCCAAGCCTGAAGCTGATGGAAGATACACCATAGAAACAGAAAAATGGGCCATCATAGTAAGTCAAAATCCAACATATGCTGACGCACCGCAATGTATGGGCTAATTTCTCTCCTGGATTCCTGTATTGCGAGCTCCTGCAAAATTGTGCACATTGCGAAATTTAGCAGCTCAAGGTCGGTGTCATTAGAAATGGCGGGGTGTGTTGACGGTATGTCTGCAGTGCCCACGGTTGAGCAAATGCTCTCTTTCAGACATATTCAATTTGTGAACGATTTGGAAATCTGTGAAGCGGCAATGGTGTCAACGCTTGATTATGGGTTCAATCACCTCGTACTGGGTGACTGCCACGAATGGCCAACACGCACATAACCATTTCGAACATGCAGTGCATTTTCAATTCGACTAATGCGACAATAAATAACCATGTAGACCCACCTTACGGTCAATGACTGAGATGATCCACTGGCGGATGTCTTTCACGTGCACCAGTGCTGTCCCACTGCCAAAGATGCAGATTGTTACAAATCCATAGCTGGATACATTCGGTGATTTCAATGGTGCACAACCTTCATGCACTTACACATTCACGCACAAACATCTCCACTGGGTCAGGGTGATGTGACACACGAGTTGAGGTAATGGCAGGCAGTTTCCGAAAGTGTCTACCATAACTGAACCATCCAATCAAAGGGTCACCTGCAAATAGTATAGAAACTGATGCAACGCTATGTGTACAGTATCGCTGTCACAATCCCAGATAACACTGCAGGAAGAGCACAGCATCAGCATTGACACAGCGTCGGAGCACACATCAAGGCCAATCCATATTGACATATGGGTATGTGCTAAAGCACTGTGGCATGCATCAGCAGAAATGCAAAAGCAATACTGCATCAATAGGCCAGCCTCCTTTCAGGTGGTGCCCCAGAAATTCGTGGTGTACCTGTCGCTCATGCTCGAATAGTTACTGTACGACACTATGCCCACAAGAATGTCCGACTGTGGGTTGCCCATCTGGATGCAGTCAAGATTGTAACAGTCAATTGGAGTGTTGAGGAGTAGCCCTGGGGATCCAGAGGACCCTGCACAACAGCAGTTCAGACTTAGTAATGATGGCTAAGATTGGGCTCAGCGTAAAATTCAGAGCCAGGAGAGATGGCAATGATTGTTGACGTATTGTTGATGCATAGCGTAATCACTGACTGAATACAGTCTGTTAAATTAAACTAAATGGAGTTTACCCCAACATGCCTGACCAGTGGTAAATGTACCTGACATCGCCTAGAGACAATGGTGGCAGTATATTATCATGTTCTAAAAGCGCTGATGCTACAGATCCAGCAATGTCAAATTTTGTACTGCAAATAGTGCCATCATTCACACCGGACGGTGTTGAGCACATTGCTCCCTGGTGAGCTAACCAACAAAAAATACAGGATTTAGGTGCCAAATATGTGCAGGCTGCCAGAGCTCCCACAATTCGACATTATAATGAAATTGTCAGTTGCATTGTCACTGGCGAGTGCATTGTTTGTGCACACTGTCAATTGATGGGCAAGGTATGATAAATCATGCAGCCATCATCCAGTTGGCATTTCGCACCTGAAAACAGCTGCGCGTTGTATGAAAATGCGCACAGCATGTCTGGCACCAGACCATTCAGTCTAGGACACAGGTGGTTCATCACGACCCACATCTCCGCCATTTGAAGTTTGTCATCTTCATTCATTGTAAGGATGGAGATTTCCATTGAGCCATAGACAGAGCAATTTGGGTGAGCCAGAACGGGCCCATT